AATCTCATTAAAATAATTGATCAAATACATAGTTCAACACATCGGGTGTGAATGGAATGACCAATCAAGTTGGCCTAAAACCGGGACAAACCGAAACCTAATAACGGCCTGGAACATGCAGCCTTAAGTACCACAATAAACTCACATCAGTTCTGAAAAAGAAATAAAACAACTAACAGAGCATCTAATAGCATCTAATAACTTAAAGCATAACCTGCCAAGAAAAAAAAAATTAACCCAACTAACAGAGCATCTAATAACTAAATCACTTGATCATTGCCCCTGCCACCATGCATAGCAGTCATTAGCAGAAATACAACCGAACTCCTGCCACTCCTTAACCGCACAAGAGACCAGGATTGGTTCCGGAAGATTCAATTTTTGAAATACCCACAAGTTCCTAGCCTTCCACAACCACCAAAGAATGTAAGTGGATAGCTGGATTCTTTGTTCGTCGACATGCTTAGGCTTACCAAGCAAACCAACGACCACCAATCAGCAAATTTTCCTCCATTTTCTACTGTCTTGCTCCACTGCACCGGTGCTAACTTCCATACTCTCACTGCTTTACTACAATTCCAAAACAGATGCTCTATCGTTTCCTCTGCCTCTCCACAAACAGGACAAATGACATCCACTTTCATACCTCGTTTTCTAAGGTTTAGATTCACCGGTATTATCCTTGAGTAGCATCGCCAAATAAAGAACAAAATTGATTTTTTAACTTTTAAATTCCAGGTTATCTTCAGTATTTGTTTGTTGATCAATAAGCCTCTGCTACTTTCCAGTTTGTCTAAACTCAAAGAATAATTTAACCACAATTTCTTATAGGCTGAAGAAACAGAAAATTCACCTTGTGAGTTAGGCGCCCAGATGAGTTTATCCTTTTCCAATGGTTTTAACCCTTTAATTCGGACAATAGCCTCGGCTGTATCGGAATCAAAAAGATTAAAATCAACTCTCTGTTCCACTCCTTCCCATTGCTATGAATCAGCTCAGCAACCCACTTAATATTACTATGGACACCCGGTTTGAAAGAATTCCTTTTCCATCCGAGCTCTTTCACCCAATTGTATTCCAACACCTTTGTAGTTCTCCCAGTCCTAACTTGAACCTGGACAGCCTTGTCAAACTGTTTTTTAACTTCCATCCAATTGTTCCATAACCAAGACCCCCCCTTGTTTCTTACTGTTGATATGGCTCATATATTGACAAAGGAAGGAGGCAGGCCGATGCCTGCGAGCGGAACGGAGCGAGCGTAGCGAGGGAAGCGGAGGGACCGAGCGGAGGATATGAGGATATGGTGGCATTTGCTCTTACGATCACTAGTGTCGATCCTGAGACTTTCCAGGAGGCTGTTTCGTGTGGAAATAGTGATAGATGGAAGGCTGCCATGGAAGAAGAGATGAATTCTGTGCATAAGAATCAGACATGGGAGTTGGATGTTCTTCCAAACGGGAAGAAAGCCATTGGCTGCAGGTGGATTTACACAAGGAAGTCATCAGTAACAGAAAAAGGAGGGGAAAGGTTCAAGGCTCGGTTGGTGGTTAAAGGATACTCACAGCAAAAGGGGATTGACTATGACGAGACTTTTTCCCCTGTGGTTAGACATACTTCGATCAGGGTTGTGCTTGCGTTGGTGGCTAGTTGGGATTTGCATTTAGAGCAGCTGGATGTGAAGACTGCTTTCTTGCATGGTGATCTCGCAGAGCCTATTTACATGCAGCAGCCAGAGGGATTCGTTCAACCAGGAAAGGAGCATTTATTTTGCAGATTGAAGAAATCCTTGTATGGCTTGAAGCAAGCATCGCGGCAGTGGAATATACGGTTTGATTCGTATATGACGAAGATTGGCTACAAGCGTTGTGAGTTTGATTGTTGTGTTTACACTAAGAGCCTTGGTGATGGTTCCATTATTTTTCTGTTACTCTATGTTGATGACATGCTTGTTGCTGCTAAGAATATGCGTGATATTGTTGATCTGAAAAGGCTTTTGAGTCAGGAATTTGAGATGAAGGATTTGGGGGCTGCGAAGAAGATTCTTGGGATGGAGATTCACAGGGATAGAGGATCAAAGAGACTGTGGTTATCTCAGAAGGGTTATGTGGAAAAGGTGCTACAGAGGTTTGGGATGAATGAAGCCAAACCGGTGGGCACTCCATTGGCAAACCACTTCAAGCTTTTTGTTCATCAGTGCCCCAAGTCGGACAAGGAGACTCAGGATATGGTGGAGATACCTTATGCCAGTGCTGTTGGATGTTTAATGTATGCCATGGTATGTACTCGTCCTGATTTAGCTCATGCTGTTGGTCAAGTTTGCAAGTACATGTCTAGGCCGGGTAAACAGCATTGGGAGGCAGTTAAATGGATTTTCAGATATTTGAAAGGCACTGCGGGACATGGTATTGTGTTTGGAGATCAGCAGTTGGATCCCTTGGTTGTAGGATATGTGGATTCTGATTATGCTGGGGACTTGGATAGTAGGAGATCTACCACTGGGCATGTTTTCACTTTTGGTGGAGGGCCCATTTGTTGGAGGTCGCATACTCAGCCTATAGTTGCTCTATCTACAACTGAAGCTGAGTATATTGCTTTGGCTGAAGCGGCAAAGGAAGCAGTGTGGCTTGCTGGATTGGTTAGAGAGTTGGGTATTAAGCAAGGTGGAGTTCTATTATATTGTGACAGTCAGAGTGCTATTCATTTGGCTAAGAATCAAGTATATCATGCTAGGACGAAGCATATTGATGTGAGGTTCCACAAGATTAGGGAATGGATTGCTTCTGGGGATATTCAGTTGGAGAAAGTTCGTACTGAAGAGAATGCTGCTGATATGTTGACTAAGGCTGTTACTTGTGACAAATTCAAACATTGTTTGGATTTGTTGAATGTTTCTGCGTGCTAGAGTTGTATGGTCCCCCCGGCCTGCTTGGTGTGTCTCGCATAGTTGCTCGCTATTGTATTCTCCTAAGGAGGTGATATATTCGCCAAGGTGGAGATTTGTTGATATGGCTCATATATTGACAAAGGAAGGAGGTAGGCCGATTTGTGGGGCTGGGTTGATTAGCTGGGCCGGGGGTGCGGGGGCGGAGCCTCCGCGGTACGGTACGGGGTATTTATGTAAATTTATACCTTGTAGGGATATGATATAAATACATGGTGTATTGATGTATTTGGGATATCGTGAATAATAAGATCTCTGCTCCGCCGTGGACGTAGGCATATTGCCGAACCACGTAAATCTTGTGTTATTTACTTTATCGTCTTTAATTCGTATTGTTCCCGTTTCACAACACTTACAAATATTTGCTTGCACCTGGGAGGGATTATTCTTACTAAAGAAAACGGATGACTTGCCCATGTTAACCTTTTGCCCCGTAAAAGATTTATAGCCTTCGAGAATGTTGAGGAGTTGGACAGCCTGTCAGCCTGATTAATGTCCGCCTTGCACAAAACTAAAGAGTCGTCGGCAAATCTCCTTTGATAATTGACCAAAAACTCTGGTAGAAAGCTGATGTCATATCGTCTTCTCCCGGTGCCTTATCGGGATTAAAACTGAAAAGTGCTTCTCGGATTTCCTCCTCCTCCACTATAGCTGTTAGCGCCTCTCATCTCATGAGTCATGACTCATAGAAGTGGCAATGTGTTGCATTTTGAATTATAATAATGTTACTTTTTGAAAAATATGTCAAGTCCTCCGATCATATTTTTTATACAAAATATTTTGATGTAAAGATTTTAACCACATCAGGTCATGAACGTGTAGCTAGAGTTGTATTAGGATGACTTGAACATGCCCAACTACAGATAACTCGGGATGTATAGTATAGCTCAATCTAAAGGAATTCGGCCAATCTAAACAACTTGAGGAGGAGACAACTTGTTATGAATAGATACTTTTTAAGTAGGACTGCAAACGAACGGAGTTAGATAGCGAGCACTTGAGTCAAAGCTCGACTCGAACTCGAATATGACCAAAGTCGAATCAAATATTACAACGTTTGAATTACTAAAATGCCTCTTAATATATAAATATTACAATGTTTTATATATGTACTTAATGGTAATTTTACATGAAATACGAGTAGAACTCGAGCCGTGCTCGAACAATCTTTCGAGTATTTTGATTTCAATCGATCTCGAATTGAGCTCGAGCAATATCTTCTTTTGTCGAGTCAATCTCGATCATCATAAATCGAGCTCGAGCAGGTAAAAAAAAAAAAAAATCAATCTTACTCGATAAAACCAATGTTTGACTCGGCTCATTTATAACACTACCTCAAGTATGTAACTCTTTGAAACGATTGAATACGAAATATACACGGAAACAACTTGGTTGGAGTTTTGCTTGTTTTATTTATTTATTCTCTCCACAAACCTGTCATCATAATAATCCATGAGATTAAAACTTTATTCTCAACCGTAAAATCTGTGCAGTAGTAAATATGACATCAATATAGCAAGACACTTAAGTGTGAACACAAATCAATAAATAAATAAAC